TGTATGAAAAAGGAATGAAAATGGGATTTCCGCCGGAATGGGCTTACGCTGAAATGGCCTCGCCGAAACGTCCGAGTTTTTCCGAACGAATGGTAATTTATATTTTATACTACTTACTAATACTGTAATATAGTAAATAGGTATATTATGTTAGGTTTTGCCATCCATTTTATCTTATCTCTGCTTGTTCCACGCCAACGGTTACTATTATATATATACGGTATATCAACGCAGCAGGCAACCATCCCTTATTGCGAGCTGTTCCTTTTCAACTTTTGCCCCTCAAACAGTTTGTCTCTGGCAGCATGTGTAAATATTTTTCTTTCCCGGTCCGTACAATTTGTTGATTTCTACTTGATATAATACAATATAATATTCACGTAATAATCCATATTAATAATTATATGGGATATCTAATAATCACTTTTTATTATTTCTGTTCGTAATTTTATAACTTTGAATTCTAGTTTTATGACTTCGTTTTTTGAATTTTTTTGTTAATTAGTCAACGGTATCCAGATTTCAACTGACTTAAATTATAGACATTGCCATTACCGGGATAAGAATATCGGAGCCACTTTACTCGCGGTCGTACGCACTGTACCGTGTCAGTGCTCTGGAGAACTTACGCGAAAAGAAACCGAGCGGTCGACAGCCGCCCCCGGCGAACAGCCCTAGGATCGCCCCGACCGCAATATTCGACCCATCAGTACTGAAGCGCAACGGTGCGTAACGCTGTGGGTTTACCAAACGCGCCGTGTCGTCGAGCTCCTCCCGGAAAACCAGGAATCTTGCGTGAATCTTCAGTCCGGACCGTCCCGTTTCGTCAATGCGGTCTGTGATGTCGCGAGGGGTGCTCGCAGGTCGGCCGCGTTTTCGGGACGAATCCGATGGTAGAAATTCAGTGACCCGAGAAAACGTTGCAGCTCCTTCTTCGTGTTCGGCTGTGGTCACTTGGCAGTATGTCAGTAACACCACAGAATATAACACGTTCCTGGTTCAGCCGCAGTCCTAGTGCATCGACGATATGGCCGAGAAATGTGAGCGAGTCCTCGGCGAAAGCACTTGGCCGGATTAATGGCACGATCAAAGCCTTAATTAACTGTTATCGGTTTCCTATGACAGATCACAGGTAACAATCGTAAATTCGTAACTATACTACCTTTATCTTTCAATACAATATAATTTAAATTCTTATATGTTGAATGTAGATGGTACATATAATAATTATCAGAAATTTACTTGAAACCATTGAGCAATAATTAGAAAAAGCTACAATTAAGTATTTATTTTAGATTTAATTATTATATACCTATAATTTGTCATTGTCATTTATCTCCGTCATAATGTCTCGCGCCAAACCTTTTATATAAAAAACGCACAACAATAAACTATGGCCGAAAGCGCATTCTCAACCAACTCTCTGATTTAGAGAAATTTGATGCAGTTAATAAACAAAAAAACCGTGTGTGTCTCAAGTGATCCTCAGAAGATGTGAAGACATATATTATATGAGCTTAGTAATATAGTTTTATTATGACGCATATATTATATAAAAATAAAAGTTACGAACAAATTTAATTAAAAACATCATAAAATTAGACTGTTATAGTGGCAAAATAATTTTTCAGTAGATATATGGTTTTAGATTTTGAGTGGAGCGAAATAATGTATTGGTTTTACAACGATATGTGTTCTTTTTCTGTCGGTCAGCAACTTTTCGGAATATTCGGATAGTAAGAATGCTTCGATTTTTGAAATAAGCATCTTTTTTAATAGAAAAATGAACATAGTTGATACTTTTGAAAGGTCAAAATTGAAAATTCCAAGCAGTTTTAAAAAAAACTACAAAATTACGAAAAACCGCTAAAAATAGGATTTTCTAACGATTTGTTTATCACCATAGCAACGAATACAAAATAATAATATTATAGGAGTGTAGAGGACTACGCTAACCTCTCAGAATCGTTTTTCGTACACAATGGTTTATCATTGTATTCAAATATAACACAATTACACATCAATTACTACTACTGTACAGCAGAGTGGTACCCACTTCTCCAGTTGTCCACCTTAATTTTTTGATATTGCACATTCTATACACTTAAACTAATATTCCGAATAACATCCTCATCGTCGATCTTCTGTTACAAAATAACTACGTATCAATAAAAATTACACCTAAATCCTCCTTCATGTATATTATTTTGTATTCGTTCAATTTGTCGACAATAAATTCTTTTACCGGTTATTTCATTACATGTTTCACTGTAATTTTACAAATGTTGGTTTCATTATTAATATTTTACATTTTGGATATTTGGTAGATCGAATGAGGTTGAGTGATTTAACTTATGTGCTTATAAAGTCATCAGTTAATATGTCAATAGTAGACAACTCTGACAACTTGTTATTATTACTTAGTACTTACAATTGTATATTTTCTGGTAAAATTATGCCCCATAAGTATAGGTAATAATATAAATTATTTTAAAATTATTAAAACAATATTTAAATTTTAGTTATATAAATAGGTATAGGTACTTTGTGAAATTATAAACCGGAGTTGAATGTTTATCATAAGGAATATCTACACGATTTCCCTCGAAATCTGTAGTTTGGTAGGGTATTTTGAAACTATTTTCGCCGTAAAGAAAATAGTAAAATTCTACATTTCCACAAATGGAGCTAATAACGTTATCTGCTGAGCGTAAAAGCACTAATTGTGGTACGGAGACAACAAATGGCCACGTAGAGTCCTCTTAATGAACTTATTTCTAATATTTTCGATTAGGTAGGTAATCTTATTTTTTTAGGAACAATTTAGACCAACCTATTTTTTTTAAAAATGAGAATAAACACCCTTTTTGTTGTAAATAATTTATTAAGTAGATGACGTTTTTGTGATGTATCCCAATCAAAGTTTGAATTCGAGTTAACGAGTAATTTTTTAGTACCTAGTTATTTTTTCATGCATTAAGAGGATGTCAGCGCACTATTTGTTTTCTATCAATCATTAACATTTCTAATATTAGAGTGAAATGACCTCTTATAGAATGGTAAGATTAGGTATTATCTTGGGAATATCATAACTTTTTATTAAATTTTAAATTTAAAGAGAATTTTGTATGTACAAACAATTTACAATTTTTTTTTTTTTTTTTTATTGACCTTGAGCTCGGCGACTTAGGCAATTAGCAGTGGGTTTTTTGTTTGTTTGTAGATTGTTAGTAGGGGAGGAACGATTGAAAACACGTTTTGTATGTGTGGCAAGGATTCGTTGATAAAAATACCGGGTGGTCACCCATCTGGGAACTAGCGACGTCAGACGTTAAGTACACTCAGTGCGTTTCCTCAGTTAAGTGTACGCACTGCGCCACAGCCACAATTTACAATTTTAAAATACTCATAACTCACTTTAAATTTAAAATATAAAAAAATCCTATAAGATTCCCAAGATAATAATCAGATTAATAATCTTACCTTTCAATTTGATAAGAGGTAATTTCACTCTAATTTTAGAAATTATTATAATTATAATCATTATTCTGAACATAATATACAATATTGAATATGTTATGTTGCGCTTGGGCCAAAGAGAGAAAACAAATAGTGCTCTGACATCTTCGGTTAGGTTTGGACTTTTGTCTTTTGGGAGGCCACGGTTATTTAAAAATTACCTATAGTCATAAACATTTAAAGTTTTGTAAAAATTGTGAGAGTACCTACAGAACATAAATTATAATAAATACTAGATCCAATATTATTGTTTTATATTTTTTTAAAACTAGGTACTTACCTATTTTCAAGAATAATACTATCCTTACTATTCTTAGTATATTATACTTGTTAATAACTCAGAAATTACTCTTTAAAACATTTATTTAGAAAAAATAAATACAATTCGCAGAAAACACAGCAATAATAGCAATCCGAGATGTTTAGCCTTAAAATAGAGATTAAACTTTAATCATTAAAGAGGGCTTAAACCTAGGTAGGTATAAATTTAAAATTTGTGTTATGTTCATGGTTAAGACTTAGGATGAATTTCGTTTACTAAAAATATTTCAGGGAGGGCCAACAAAAAATATCAATATAATATGGTCTAAAATTTTAATATTTTATATAATTTAACATAGCTACCCTACATGGCTACATTTTATTAAAATTTAGTATCGAACTAAAATAGTGAGAAGGCATGGCCACCTGTAGACGACTGTGCGTGTGGGATTGCTTTGCCCCTTACTATTCCATGCCGGTCGTTCGTTATCTCTTATCAGTCAGTCAAATAAAAACATAAACATACCTACCAATATTAGTAGTATTAATAATAATTATTATTAACATGGTAACAAATTAATGTTTTACAGATTTTTTTTTTTTTATCACGGTGAGTAAAGGAGATAAGCAACATTTAAACAGTAAATTATTTTTGTATTTTTTTCTGTTTACTGCTTTCGTGCCTTTGTTGTCTGTAGTTCCGAGTACCTACTACTAACTACCTATTAGGCAGTAGCGTAGATGCGTAGTACGAGTTTTTATCAATGTATAGGTTTGTGAATGTTGTAGTTGTTTTTTTACGTTAACATTTTTAGTAGTGGTGGAACCTGACAAACTTGTATTGCATTCATTTTTAGTTTTCATGATTGGACAAAACGCTACAGCTGAAATAATGCAGACCGCTAGTCTTTGACTCCGAACTCGTTAGAGTTATGGGTCACCACCACCACTGTTACCGTAGTGTACTAGTGTAATTTCATATTAGCCACACAACAATCTCTAATCTCCCTCGTCCGTAATAAATTATTATTATTATTACTATTATTTTACGTATTACGTATGGACGTTCAGTATTCAGTGAGTACCAACCGCAGGTAGTTTTCTTGTAGTTAAAATTTTAGTTGACTTTTTTAAATTAGTTTACCAAACAATATAATTTTAAAATTTTTTTTTCATGACGTTATATCCAAGAATACACTAATAGCTCGTTTGTGTGAATCATGGCTCCAGTTTTGAGCAAATACGTGTCTCAAAAAAATGCAATAATCGGCAGTGCCGTTGCCGGAGTGCCTTTGTTGATTTTTCTGTTAAAGAAATATGCCCTCCAGAGGAAGAAGACTGTTAAGAGGTACATATCTTAGTTTCTAATATAATTTGTTTAACATCAATGTACATATTATACCTATGTTTTTGGTAACTACATTTTTTAAATTTTTTAATAGGAGAGCTCCAGAGAATGACATAAAGTACCTCATAGTTGATGTAAGTCCAAATATTATTTATAACAACAATTAAAGTACCTACCTATAAATTGGAATAGTTTGCAATTCAAATACACTAAAACTAGTTTGCAATTAAATATATACTGCTAGAAGTTAGAACTATTTAGATTATTCTTAAACTTTGTTAAATAATTTATATTACCTACCTACCTAACAAAAAATGTTTTATTTATTTCTTAGTATTATTTTTATCATTACTTTTTTGTACTAGCTAAATATACATACATTTAGAATAATAAATATAATAATATAATTTATAAAATAAATACAATTCTGAATAAAATAATAAAATATTCAAAATGTTTTAAACCATATAATATATACCTATTTAAAAATGAGTTAATTAATTTCCTATAGCTGTTTTTTTTAACTCACTTAATTCATACAAAATGTATGGAACTAACATAACCTTTCTTAGAAATTAGCATTCCTAGTAATAGAACTGTAGTAATGACACTTTAGCAAATAACAAGTTATAAATATTTGGGTTATAATAAGTGTTGTTTCAAATGTTAATTTATTCACATTTCATTGGAATTACAAATATATTGAATTCATTAGCAAAGAATACATTGAGGTCATTGCATAGCATTTTAAGTTTAGATGGAGTGGTACATCAGACATTTTGTGGAGTAACCCTTGATACTGTGCTCCTCTTATCATAAATGTAAAATGATAATTATTAACAAAGAATTATTATTCAAATTCAATATTCATATATCAAAATTCATAGGAAAACATTCTACTCCAGATTATCTAATTAAAAAAATAAGTTACCATTTATAAATCAAAATTTAACATTGTTTTATCAACAAATATAAGGATGAAGAAAATAAGAGCAATCTAATATTGCATTTGGGTATTTTAAATGGACAAAAATAATAATCCTAACAAAATCTTATACTTTTTGAAATAATGCACATTAACTGTTAAATTATACATTCTGTATACCTAGAAATTTTAAGTAATATATCTTTCTTTAGAATTTTAAATTATAAATACAGGTGGCTCTTAAAATAAGTACTCCAAAAATGTAGAATGATAAGTAATTTAAACTACTTATAAAAGCCTTCATTCAGTATTCTTAGTAATATCTGGAATTTTTATTTTAATACTATGTCAACATTTTTAGCAAAATTATCCGCTAAATAATCTATAGTATGAATAGGAGCCTCATTTGAAAAACAGAAGCTTGTATATCTTTAAGTAATACATAAAATCTCAAGAATTTGAAAATTTGGTTTTTAATTATATTTAAAAATTCCAAAAATAAAATTTTGAATAACTATTAATGAAGAAAAATGGGGTGACTCGGTGAACATGATTGGTAAATCACCCTTATATTATATACATTTTATTTTATTTAAGTAAAACAACCTCAATTTGCTACTGTTCCATATTAACATAAATATTGAAATACCAATTAGGTAGATACTAGATACTTAATAACCAATATCTGATGGATTAAGGATATATTATACTAAGTCATTAAATTAAAATTAAGAATAAAGGGAGCATTAAACAATTAGTTAAATTATTATTAAATGTATCATTCCCAATTAATACCCTCATTAATTCCATTCATGCTATCTGTTGTAGGGTTTTCATGATAATAGGATGATAGACACTAATCACTAAACAGGTGTGTGAGCCACTGCGTATCTATAATTTTTTTTGGGGAGGGGTTTTTGACAAATTTTATCTGAAAAAAATTTATTAATAATAACATAGATATCATTTAACAATGTTTGGGGCTTACACATCCCTGGATACGCCACTGTGTGTGAGCCTTAATATTGTTGCAATATCAACTTATTTTGTCATAGGTAAAACTTTTATTCTCATCTTCTAAAATGATCCTTAGGTTGAAACTCCCAATACAAATGTTTAAGCTCTAACCATATTTTATTGTAGGTGGAACATTAAATATGTAAATAAAATGTTTAAGCTTCATACCATATAAAATTATAACAAAATATTTTGTATTAAATTTAGCATTGCAGTCTGTAGAATCAAGAAACAAAAAACTTGTTTTTTTTTAGTGAATATTTTTTTTATCAATAGTTATTTGTCAGACACTCAGATGTCAGATGTCATTGTTTTACTTTTACACTTTTTAGGTTCTGATTTTATTTATCTTAATAAAATAATTTAGTTAATTTAATAATATCATAATATTTTAATATATATATTTATTTATTGAACAATTGTTAAGATAATATTAAAAGATTATGTATTTTGGTACGATTGTATCTATTGAATAAATGACTATCAACATTTATGTAACAGGCTTAACCTGTTTTAAAATGTATTATTTGAAAATATATGAAATTTAGATCCTTACCCATATTTTGAAATTTGTAACTACCTACTAGCCTTGGATTATTTAAGTTGTCCATATAGGTTTAAAAAATATTTTTTCCACCAAGTACTTAATTATTATTCATAAAAAAAAACATGTTATTAATTTTTTTTTTATTATAACTTAACGTATATAATAAATAACTAATTTATTTTATACTGATCCTGTGTACTTTGTTACCCATTAAAAGTGCCACCTCTATAGGATTCAAATTTTAGCTTTTTTGTTTAGCTTTCAACAATTCAAAGTTATTACAGCTCGACAATTAGAACCCTTACTTGTTTTCATAATTTTAATGTGTCACTTTATGTAAGGATTATTTGCGTTAAAAAAATTTAAATAATTTCATATAATAATAATGCGTATACTGTATTTAATTTTAAAAATATTTGAAATAACAGACAAATAGGATTTCATATATATAAATCCTCTAATAATAATACTACTTGCGCAGAAATCAGCAGAAACAAAGAATGCAAATCGAGCACACGTCAATGGCCGCTTTCTTAAACAACTCTTTCATATTTTGAAAATCATTATTCCTGGCTTTACATCTCCAGAATTTGGGTTCCTCATACTTGTTGCTGCATCACTAATGGCCAGATCTTATAGTGATATATGGATGATACAGACAGGAACAGTTGTTGAAACAGCAATTATAAGTATGAATACAACATTATTTAAAAAACAACTGTTATACTTTTTTGCCGGAATGCCAGTTGTAAGTAGACTTTTTTTCTAAAATTGTTAAAGTGAAAACATAATAGTATTTAATAATTGATTATTTTGCAGATTTCTTTAGTCAATAATGTGTTAAAGGTAAATATAAATATATATCAACCGACCAGCGGTCTAAGAATATAATATTCATAATTTTACAATTTACAGTGGAGTATTGGAGAATTGAAGCTTAGACTTCGAACTAGGTTGTCACTTCACTTATATGATGAATATTTAAGGTAATTTTATACAAACATTTTACAAAAAACAAAAAGTCATGTTTATCATTTTTAGAGGATATACTTACTACAAGATAAATAATTTGGACAACCGTATATCAAATCCTGATCAGTTATTAACAGCTGATGTTGATAAGTTCTGCGATATGTTCACTGATTTATATTCTAATATCTGTAAACCAATTTTAGACATTGTAATATATGTTTACAAATTAACATCTACATTAGGATTTCAAGTAATGATTAAAAATATGTCCCAAAATTAATTTAAAAATGTTTATAGCAATAATTGTTTTTTAGACGCCTTCTGTTATGTTGGGTTACTTGATGGTATCTGGATTTATTCTAACTTACCTCCGTAGACCAACTGGTAAAATGACTGTAATAGAACAAAAATTAGAAGGTGAATACAGATATATTAACTCCAGGTTAATCACAAATTCTGAAGAAATAGCTTTTTACAATGGTAATAACAGGGAAAAGCTTACTATGTTAGCCTCATTTAATAAATTAGTAAGTATTACGCCTAGTCTGTAAGTTTATATTTTTTTACAAATTTTTATTTCAGTATTTCATTCTTCTAATCATAATTACTTTTAAAGTTATTTTTAATTTTATTCCTATTTAAATACCATGTGAATCCTTTATCATGAACCACTCATTATTTCAAAAACTCTATTTTGAAAAAAAAAAAGCTGCATTCTAGTTGTTAAAAAACATAATTTTTAGAATATATATATTTATTTTAATATGTTTTTTAATTTTGTAAGTTTTTACTTTATCGAATAACAACATACGGTTTTAATTTCATATTCCAAAGCAGAATATTTTTCTAAGTTTTTAATTTAGGGAGAGTAGTTTAGCAGAGAAGTGGACCAACATTTTGCGGGGAAACCGCATAGCATTCCACTTCGCTCATCTAAACTTCAAATGCTTCTAACTCATAAACTACATGTCCTAAATTTGATTTTTATGTATCGAAATATTCAGAAAAATATTTTGCTTTTGAAGATGAAACTAAAACTATGAAGTCGAACCAAAAGGTAAAAAACTTAATAAAAAGTTGTTGTGAAACAACTTGAAACCATGTAAAAAAAAATATTAATACTTTTTTGAAATAATGAGTATCTTACATTAAATGAATCACCCAGTATATATTATTTAAAGTTCATAATTAAGGTATGTGTTGTAAAATTAGTTGTTTTGTAAATAATTTTTGCTGAGAGAATTTTCCTTTAACAACGTTTAATGCTTTATTTGATGTATCTATATTTTATATTATATATACAAGGTTACGAGATTGAAATGAATCCTAAGTATGTATTATTGTATTAAAGATTTGATTTTGATAGTATTATAATAAAGTCCTCTGTATATCCTATAACTTTAATTTTCAATATTGTATTTATTAACTATAGTAGGATAAATGTCAATGTTTGAATTGTAAATTGTAATTTAAGAAAATAAAAAAATGTTTATTAATAATAATATTTTAAAAATATTTTTAGACAGATCACTTAAGAAAATTCCTTGAATTCAAAGTGTCCATGGGTTTTCTTGATAATATTATTGCAAAATGTAAGTCAAAATTATTTATGATATAATAAATTCTAAAATTATTATTGAAAATAACATTTTGAAATGTTTGATATTTTCTAGATATTGCCACAGTTGTGGGATTTTATGCTGTTAGTATACCTTTTATGAATCGTAATTCACCTTTAGCCAATCTTTCACAAAATGAACGTTTTCGAGTGAGTACAGTTTTAACATTCTAAAATATAATAATGATATACAACAATAAAAGAAATACAAGAGAACCTAAACTATCCGAACTTCCGTTACACAAACCCTCTATTATCCGAACAAATATCAAATGGGAATTATTATTATTATTATTAGTTTACTGCGAAAACTTTAATATATAAATATCACAGAAATACTTACATGATTTTTATAATATATTACTATTAATATTCAAATTTTAATTACAGAATTACTATACAATGGGTCGTATGCTGGTAAAATTAGCTGAAGCTATTGGCCGCTTAGTGTTGGCTGGCCGCGATATGACACGTTTAGCTGGATTCACTGCCAGAGTTACTGAAATCATGACTGTACTCAGTGATCTTAATAAAGGACATTATGTACGAACTATGTTGACTGATAATAATACTCTGAGAGAAAAGAAACTTGTACCAAACTCTGGTCGTATTATTACTAAAGACAATATCATTAAGTTTGATAAAGTACCTCTTGTGACACCAAATGGTGATATACTAGTAGAGGAATTATCATTTGAAGTTACATCAGGCATGAATGTGCTAGTATGTGGGCCAAATGGTTGTGGAAAATCGTCATTATTCAGAATACTTGGTGAATTATGGCCTCTCTTTGGAGGAACCTTAACAAAACCTCCAAAGGGCAAACTTTTTTATATTCCACAAAAACCATATATGACATTAGGTACACTAAGGGATCAAGTTACATACCCACACACTAAGTACGTGTAAATGAAATGCTTTTATTGAATATTATAGACTATACTATCATTAAACATTATATTGTTATAGTTGTGTTAGCATCAATCATAATGTGTAATATTGATTTTTGTAACAAATCTTATTTTTTTTTTTTCTTAAGGGAGGAAATGCAGCGTCGTAGAAAAACCGATGTAGACATTGCTAATCATTTAGAACGTGTACAACTATCATATTTATTGCAAAGAGATCAAGGTTGGGATACTGTCGCGGACTGGATGGATGTTTTGTCTGGTGGAGAAAAACAACGTATTGCCATGGCTAGATTATTCTATCATCAACCACAATTTGCAATATTAGATGAATGTACAAGTGCAGTTAGTGTTGATGTTGAAGGTTCTATGTATCAATATTGTCGTGATGTTGGTATTTCACTTTTCACGGTTAGCCATCGAAAATCTTTATGGAAACATCACGATGTAAGTATTAATATCAGAATTTTTTATCACCGTATTACATACTTTAGAATATTCAGTCAGTATAATATTAATTTGTGCATTACCCGAATTCTGAATTGGTACTGTGGTGGCATGTACAACTAAAAGATACTTAATATATATATATTTATAGTATAAATACCGATGTAAATTAACCAGTCCAATAGCCAAATAATAAAAATAAATCAACCAAAGATAAAAAAAAACTATAACTAAGTTATTTTTTTTTATTTTTACCAAAATATAATCTCCAATACTATTTTATTTATTTGTTTACATAATGTGTATTAGTTTTAATACTTATTAATTTAAACTAGATACATTAATAAAACAATTTACAACATCGGAATTTAATTTTACTATCTGCCTATGGGTAATAATTTTGACATGCACAATAATTATTACAGTAAAGTATCAATAACTTGAATTTTAACGGGGATAAAAATAGACTTGACTTATATAATTTTCAAGTTATATATCGCGACAAATATTGCATTGAGTGTATAAAAATTTAAGTTATTGAGACTAATAACTAATAACAAAAATGTTGTTATATATTATTAAACAAAAAAATTTCATTTTTAAGAAAGATTTAAAATAATTTGCTTTTTAGATGTTTTTCTTCTACACAAGCGTGCATATTTAATAAAATTAATTTTCTACTGAATATAATAATTAATAATATACAGTAAAACCTCTCCTTATAACGGAATCACTCAGTAAGTATACGGGATAATATAGCCTATTAGGTTATGCGGAGCTGTTGTTATTTATGTAATGAGATTTTTGTCTTCGAAGAGGACAGTTATAGGGTCGTTTTACTGTAAATGTTAACTGGATTCTATGTTTCTTTTTTTAAGTAACATTCTACCAATTTATTTTTTTAATTTCTTGATTTAATAAAAATAAATGTACATTACAATTTAAAATATTTTACAAATTTAATATGTTGTTCACTAATTTAACTATTTATTCTTCTGTGCCCTATAATAATATTATTATGGTATTACATGTATTATGTAGTATGTATTTAATATTTAAAAACTTAGAGAAATATAATATAACATAATTTTTTCCCCATTTAATGATAAACAAATATTTATTATGTTTCAGTACTATTTACAAATGGATGGAAGAGGATTATTCCAATTTAACAAAATTGATTCTGACACAGAGGAATTTGGTTCATGAGTCTCCGTAGCTTATATTATAGTTTTTAAAATAATTATTTACATATATTCTATTATATGTATAATATGTAATAATTTGGTTCAATCTTGCCTGATTCTTGAACTTGTGCCTATTTGTTATTGGTGTTAATAGATCAAATTTTTATTTATATTTTTAATATTTATAATATTGTAATGTCAAGGTATTCTATAAAGTTTTTGTAATGCTGAATTTTTTTACCAGTCAATTAGACCAATAGATTGGTTTTAGATTTATTTATTGTATCGTACAAAATATATCATTTTTGTAATTGTGTTATAACTAAATATTTTAATTTATTATATACTATTCATTTTGTTAAGTACATGGCTACAATTTATAAAAGAAAAAACTTTCCCCATTACTTTTTAAAGATAAAAAATGGTTTATCATAACTAAATCTATCATAAAATTGATCTGTGATCATATCGTTTATCTTAGCTCTACAAGAAATTGCATAATATTTTGTTATTATACTTAAATACAATGGTGGACTAAATTAACTATAAGCTTGTATTGAGCTTTTTTTTTTTAATGGTTATTTATTGATGAGTGTCTTAAAGAATTGAAGGTTTTCTGTTCACGGACCTAATGTTTAAGAAATTTTTTCAACAAGTAATACACTTAATGTCTTAAAAACAGCATGGATCAGAATGATGTTATACATACAAATTAGTAATTCATAATGTTTATATAAAAAAAGTGTACAACAATTGTATTAAGTATGACATATGTTTATTAAGTACCTATATAGATACATATTATATACATACCTACATAGGTACATACATACATTATAATATAAAATATTTTATATCAAAATACATCATAGGCTATGGTAGAAAATATTGCAATGGGAAATCTATACTTGTAAAATCAAAAGAAAAATCAAAGAGGATTTGTTATCAGTAGTGTAATAGACACTTGTATTGGTTGGGACAGTTCACATCAGCGACTGTCCATCGGATTATGGGAGATAATAGCATCAGGATGACAAGACGAAAATAGACCGCATAGGTACGCACATACAATCTTACGTGATATATATAAAAAAAAAATATATAAAATAATAATATTAATAATAATAGGTTTTAACTTTTAAGGATCACAGTGTTACTTATGCGCTCGAACGGTAATCGCGTCTACCGCTTGTTCCTCGCGCCCTTTATGGTAAAACGTCTCCAAAAGCTTGGCTTCCGTATCGACGGTTCGTCATCGTCCAGTTCTCTGGTCGGTGACCCATGTCCAGAATCGCTTTCGTCTGCGTTGTAACGGCGGCCGGTCATTGTCGAGTCGTTTCCGCCGCGTAGAAAGTCTAGGAAATTCGATTCAGACTTCATTTTACCTAAAAGTATAAAATATTATTAATTATATTTAAAAAAAAATAACGTCTTTAGCACCCAACTTGTAAATAATTATTGTAAGTAGGTATCTATTTAATGGACTTCTATTGCCTATATAACATATAGCCTATTATAAAATCCGTTACATGGCCATAAATAGGTACATAATAAATATAAATACGTAATTGGTTAATTAAGAAATGATTAGGTGGATAGTAGAAACACGAAAACGAAATAATCAATTTATAACTTATAAAGTAGGTACGCCAACGGAAATGATTAATTGTTAACGTATGGGTACGTTTATGGTACCTATACCATGTCAAATTATGAAATAGGTAGATAAGTACCTACCTATCTCGTCCTCGTGGCTTGTAATAATATAGTAAAAACTTAGAAAATATGATTCCGGCCATGAAAAAAGTATACAAAAAATATTATTAATTTTATGTCATAGGTACCTACATAAAAAATAATCGATTCGGAACCACTAAGTGATCATGAAAGATATATAAATCATTGGCCAGTTCAGAATAGAAGTTCAAAAAGCTACAAGGTAGATATAGAGGGGGCTGACCCTCGAAGACACCCCTGGACCATGTAAGGTGGCTCACTTTCTGGTAGGACCTATCACTACAAGAAAACTGCAAACGAACCCGTCGAAACCTATCAAGCGTTATAATATGTTGCTTACTTTCTTATACATACGAAACGACATACCTACTTATCTATAAGTTATATTATTTTATAATTGTATACCTACATAGGTACTACCTACGTAATATGCTAAAACGCAATAAGTACCTTTTTAAATTTGATATCTGCTGAGTATACATTTTAAAATTTTTTTTTATGAATTCCTAGTGTCCAACATTTTAAAGTGTTACCTATATTATACTTTGTATAATAAATATTCATCTATGTACGCATATGTTGCAAATTTTTGATTTAAACTTTTTTGCTGAGTTGGAAATGCCGTTATAAACACCAAGGGGGTGAGTGGGTAACCTTGTATACATTTAATTTTGCTCCTCACCAAAAATTATTTCAACACACCACTGATATATAGGTACATATATCATAGGCGCAAGAAGGGGTGTATATAAATTGCGCTGAATTACCTTTTTACCTATAAGAAATCTATCATTGCGCCGTGTATCCGTCGAAATTTTTTACATATTGATTCCACTGCAGGCTATCAACCCTCTGAATATTTTAAAATTATTTATTTTAATACACAAAATATAAAAGGCTTACGTTTGCATTTATGTCAATATTATTTTATGATCTAAAATATGTTTTATTTCATTAGTAGAGGTACACACTATAACGTAGTGTGTGTTTTAAGGTACTTATATGATAATAATTCAAATATCAATAAATAGATATAGGTACTAGGTACCATTACTTTTACATTGTACCTATATTTTATTATTTTTATTATAAATCTATTTAAAAAAAAATACAGTTTTACTTAATTTTGTAAAAATGACAATCACTAGGTATTTACTATTTATAGTTATGTATCTAGTTATATTGTTTTATAATTTTAACAAATTTTATATTGTTTTTTATTGTTTTTTTTTCTGCCATAATAAATGCATAATTGGGTTATATTGTCCTTTGTGGACGACAATGTTTGAATTGTTTTTATGTAAAGAAAAAATATATATTGACTATTATGGTAAACTAGGTGTTCCTATACTGTTCATTAAAAACATTTCTGTATAATATGATGCATCGGCCATCGGTTATTATTTAATAAACAGTCAGCGGAATCAACATAAACAAATATCCGTCGGAATCGATAGCCGGCGGAATTGATATTAAAAATTAGGATTAAAATGCTGTTGCGGGGAGGCACCTAACAAAACTATTAATTTAAAATAATCCATTTGGGGCTTATATAATCTAAAGTCAATAAGGGATATTTGGGGGGGTAGCTAAGCCACCATCCATAGTCTCGTCACTGTATGTATACTATATTATATTAAACATATTTAGTTTGTTGATTTGTCCAAAAGTATTAGCTCTCGGGGGAGTGATACCGAAATCAGTTACCCCATTGTATAAAAAAAAATTCACAACTAAAACTTAGTATTTAGTCAATTTAAACTCGCAGGTCTGGCCATTGCCAGAGTGGCCACTGACCACAGGTTGCATTGACCAGACACGTCAACTCTGCGAGCCCTCGATAAGTAAGGCACTCATGTATAGGTAGGTAGGTTAGGTAGGGTACCTTTCTTTTTGCCGGGCATGCCGAAGCTTAGACTCCTGGAGCTGAGCTCCGCCTTGAGCTGCTCCGGCGGTATGTTTTCCACCTTGAACTCGTCCGGGTCCTCGACGAACGCTTGTTGCAGGTCTCTCATGATTTTCTTCCTGATGGTTTTCTTCATGGACAGGTGCCGTTCCAGGTGCTTGACGTCGTCCTCAAACGTGGCCGCGCATTTGGTCTGCCGGCTACCGCCGCTCTTGTGCCGTTTCTTCTTGGACCCCTTGGCCGGCAACAAGTCCTCTTCGCTAGCCGAGCCCACCGATATGGCGCTGTCGGTGCCGCCCGCGCTTACGCCGCCCAACGAATTTCGGTCGTCGCTCTTCACGTCCAACCGCCGCAGCTCGTTCGGCAGACCGTCGTCGTCATCGACCCCGCCGAATATGTCCCTCAAGTGTGGTATGTTTCGCTCGCTCGTCATTTTCTGCGAACAAATATTGATAGAATAATATAATACGCTTCAATAGCAACAATAAAGGTACCTATAAAATATAATATTCGGTATTTTGTATGTCGGTAATGTTTTGAAATATATAACATTAAACATTTATATATATAGGTAATGATAATTATGACTAAATATACCTAAGAAAGTATCGTTGACGAAGAGTTTACAACCACGCTTATTCCGGAATATTTCTAGATACTTTAGTAGGTATTCTATGTAATTTAATAATTATACAATGTAGGTATAATTCGTTATTGGGACAGCGAAACAAAATGTATATAAATTATAAATTATATTTAAATATTTAATAACTTATAAGTGGCCGTTAAAGGTAATTTTTTCTATCTATGTTTTAATCAAAAAAGTTATCTAAAAATTTAAAAAAATTATTAAATCCTTTCTATACAGTACTACAGTCGGTATACCTACCTATATTCCAACGGATAGGAATAATAACTAACACAGATAAAGTCTATAATTTTATATGCAACAGGAAATTCAATTTAATTTAACTTTTAAGATTAATTAACTTCAATTGAATACAGTACTTAATATTTAAATATTACCAAAAAAATGGGCGCGGAAATCTTTATATAGTTTTGAACATAATGTTAAACGCGGTACCTATTATGTTTAATTATATACATATTTCTAATAATAATAATATGCACTGCAGAGTATAAGTTGCGTGTTGCATTATAAAAGTAATTATAATTAAAAATTGAAAAAAATTATTGTAATAAAAAATATTGATTATTTAATTTTCGAGATAAATATAGTGCCTAATATAGGCTACTTCAATAAATGGTTTATATATACTTAATTATAATAAAAAATAATAATTGTATATAGGTACGTAGTATTTGCATAATAATAAAAGGTGGGCATTATAACTAGTTAAAAAGTTGTTTTTTTTTAAAAACTTTTTACCTTAATTATAGTTGGTTAAAATACGTCTAATCAACTCAATAATTTGAATAGTTAAAGAATCTATTGTAACAACTCTCTTTTTCCAGTTAATTTTAAAAATAATACGTCAAGTTAAAATCATGTATTTGTTTAATAAGTCTGTAATCGGTATTATAATATTATACACAATGATAAGATTTATACATGACAGTAACCAAATAATCTAAAAACCGTATAAAACGCCTTAAGCCAGTACTGCAGCTATAACAGTGTGCATATTAAAAGGAATAGTATAAGGCATAGGCATAATCTGGGGTAAACTCTTAAGGGGGAGGGTAATCAGTGGTAAAACTAAAAACCTGTAAGGTAAAATTACACTAATGCCCACTCGATGAAATATCTGAGGGGGCAGTCCCCCCCCTAAAGGTTATGGACTAGGTATATGATGTATTTTAAACAAAATATTTACTTGGTACTTAAGCAAAATTGAAAGTTGCACAATCACTATAATAATAGTACCTATGTGTGACACAGTCGGTAATTAGAAAAAAATTTATCGATTTCTTTTTAACATAGTTAAATTAATATTTTTCTAAATATTAACTTTATAGACTTATGAGTTAAATATACCTATTATTTGTTAACTATAATCTATTAACTTATGGCTTTACGTCCTTATAGCGTTGACTTCTCAAACAGGGTCAAGTTAATTTTTCACTTTAAAGGTGCCTACACATGATGGGTTAATCAACTATTATAAATCCGTGGGAGTTAATATTGATATAATTATATATATTATTGATAATTTATGACATATCCTTTGTGTGCACGAACAAATCGACGTTTTTATAAGTTTCAATGATTTCCTGAATTGCAAGCAACAGTTTTAACTTAATAAAAATCTGCTAGGCACTATGTTGAGAGGTCAAGACAATGCACGGTTATTTATTACATTTTATTAATATATATCTGTTGAACACTTGTTATCACTTAAAATCGATTGTTTTGGTATGCGTATTGTTTTATCGACAAAATATTATAATATATACTTATATCTACTACTATATGTCTTGTCAAGTATGATGTAATCGAGAAGAATCAACCGTTTGGTAACTGTAAATCATTTGCAGTTGCGAGTTTGCCAGTTCGATCATTGAAATTACGTGGACCGTATAAAGACCATATACCTACCTATATAATATATATTACATAATAGCTAAAACTGCAAACTGCAGCAGTGCGTGTACCTACATCATTTGCATTGCGAATGATATATTCGACTAATCTAACCTCTACAAGTTTCGATAACGTAGAGTTAATGGAAATTATTTAAAAACAAAAGACATATCGTTTTTTGATATTTATCATTTCAATGTATATTACAATATTTAGACTAATTCGTTTTCATCACCTGCAGTTGTAACACTATAGGTAGGCTACCTACTACCAGTACTATCTAATTCTAATGAATATCTGTATTCAAAATAAATCAAACGGCCTCCACCATTAGGACCATAATATTATTTTATTTAATATATATTATATTTCTCTGTAAATATGTGTTTTTGAAAAAATAAAATCTCTTGAAGACTTTGTGCTTTAAGGTCATCGACATCGAATCACTTATGCGTTATATGCGACACTCTTTGTCGCCGTCTTACAAACTTAAAACATGGCAAATTTTCGTGGAGCAAAATCCATCCTGCAGTTGTCAGGGATTAATTTTAGAGTGCTTCATCTTCCAACTAATGAGCACTGCGTTGAAAATCAATTACCCGAATGATGGAGAAACAAATGATATCAAAACACGTAAATTTACCGAGGAAATAACGCGACTGAATCGCCATGAAAGAATCGCCTTGTATATATATTATTGAAAAAAATGAATGTTTTAGAAAAAAAAAATAATGATGTCAACAATCATATCCAACAGTCGTTAGAAACGTATACATTGACATTGATTCGATAAATCGAACAACTACGTCAGATGGCGTATATATAGAAGTATCGACTACATCGATTATACGGATGTACAGTTATCGGTATGAAAAAGGAAGAAAAAAAAAAAGACGCAAGAATTATATTGCGCTTCGATTTTTCGCGAGTTACTCAGACAAAAACAAAAAAAAAAAATAATAAAAACAACGGTAATGATCGCACGGTCGGAAACATAAAAAGTGTCATACGTTTTTTTTTACGGGCCAAAGCACAACGATCCGCCATATAATATTATTCCACCATATTATAATAGCTCTACACAGTTCAGCCTAAATGTTGCATACTCGATGATAATATATATATATATATACATAGTACAGTATATACCATAAGCGATACGGTTGCGTGCGTAAATTGTTGATGTTTTTCATTCGCTGCCTGTGCACTGTTCGTCAGTCGAGGAGACAAAAAAGTCATTATATACATAGGTACAAGGTACTATTATATAGGTATTATAATATAGCTACGCCCCTTCGTTTCACAGTCGCGATAATATGAGCTAGAGGGTAAATGGACAATTTCAACAAGACTATTTTCGGTGCAGTAGACAATTTTTCCCCGGTACATTTTTTAGGACTCACGGGAATTGAGCCCAATTTATCTTTTTTTTCAAAATACGGTAATTGGACCACTACGGTTTTACATTTATAACAGGTAGACCCGGATGGGTCATTGTTTTCAACGATTTTTAATATTCTATCTGGTAATTGAGGGCCACTAAATCAATATGTTCTATTGAGTATAGTACCTATATGAATAAATTGCTTACTACAAAAATTTAAATAATAAATACATTTAAATTTCCTATGTTCGGTAGAATCTATATATGTTGACGGCACTTTTGAATACTGTGCAAAGCATTTTTATCAATTGTTTTATTCATGCTTATAAAGATATATATTATGTTCCTTTAGTGCCTATTTTGACTACTTCAAGACATACAAAAATATACTTATATAAAAACATCCAAATCAATTATCCTTTATTGCTCTGATCATGGTTTACAATTTAAGCCAGTGTTTCCCAACCTTTTTACCACCACGGACCACTTTGACAATATTTTATAGGTCGCGGACCACCTCAATTTTACGCAAACTAGGAAGACCTTTTTTTTTTTTTTTGCTCATTAACAAGAATACACAAAAATGTATTGGAAAATTTTTATTATCTTACTGTACTATTATATATAATTATTAAACTTTACTAATAATTTACTTAGTGTGATTTTTGTATACGTTAAAAACCTATATACAGTAAACAAAAATTTCACTGTTTAAAAAAACAATATTTCTTAAAGAGACTTAAAAAGTTCCGCGGACACACCTAGACTGGCCACGGAATAGGTGGTACGCCCATCGGTGGTAATATTTAAGCAACAAAAATCACTGTCGATTACAAGGAATTCAAGAAGGAATTAAGCATAGGTACATTGGGTGACATAAAAATTGTAGGATGTAGATTTCACGTTGAGCAATCATGGAGTCGAAAATATCAGGCTTAATTATAAGTAAAGAATATAAAGATAATAAATCTAAAATAGGTAAATGGCTAGAAAATATATTTGGCATTTTTAAATCGATAAAAAGTAGACATGCCTTGCAATGGATTTTATATAAGTGCGATGCCACAGAACAATAAATTAACTGTATTTTCCGATTATATATGTTTGACACTTATTTATGACGATGCTATATTTTCCCCTCCGAGTATTTTTATGTATTATACAAAAAAAAAATTAGCTAATAAACGTTATACATTTGAATATTCGTATATTTTTATGCTATACACGTTTATGGCCCAATCTCCAGGTGCACTTCAAAAATATAGATTTAATTTGTGGCCCAATCTCCGGATAGTAAAATGTAAACAAATATTTTATACGATGCAGGTAGGTACATAAAATGCTTTTTTTAACGAGGAAATTTTCCATCCATGTTTTTTTTTTTTTAAATTTGTTTGAAAATGAAATTAATTTTTTATTTGTCTAATCGAATATAATAGTTAAAACTATAATGTAATAATAATCACAATATATTTTACAAAAATCCATTGCAATAATATTATAG